ATGCAGATTGGGAAAAAATATTTGGCAATGACATATCTGACAAGGGACTCATCTCTAGAATTTATAGAAAACTCCAGCACCTCAGTAACAAAAAGATAAATAATCCAATTAAAAAATGGGCAGAAGACACGAATAGACACTTCCCCAAAGAGGATATTCAGGTGGCTAACAAACATATATGAAGAAATGCTCATGATCGTTAGCCATTAGAGAGATGCAAATCAAAACAACAATGAGATATATTCTTGCTCCAGCACTAGTAGCAGAGTTCAACAAGAAAGAAAATAAAAAACGTTGGCAAGGATGTGGAGACATTGAGACTCTCATACTGCTGGTGGGACTGTATTTGGTCCAAATAACTGTGGAAAATCAGCTGCAGGAATCCAGGTGAGGAGAATGAACCAGGCATGCCCAAAGCAGCAGGGTGGGAAAGTGGGAGAAAGGGGATTAAAAGGCCTAGAAACCGGGACAGAGCAGCAGTCAACTGCAGGGAGCCAGGTGAGGAGAGGGAACCCAGGCATGCCCAAAGCAGCAGGGTGGGAAAGTGGGAGAAACGGGATTAAAAGGCCTAGCAACCAGGACAGAGCAGCAGTCAGCTGCAGGGAGCCAGGTGAGGAGAGGGAACGCAGGCACACCCAAAGCAGCAGTGTGGGAGAGCAGGAGAAAGGGGATTAAAAGGCCCAGGAACCGGGACAGAGGAGCAGTCAGCTGCAGGGATCCAGGTGAGGAGAGGGAACGCAGGCATGCCCAAAGCAGCAGGGCCGGAGAGTGGGAGAAAGGGGATTAAAAGGCCCAGGAACCAGGACAGGGGAGGAGTCAGCCACAGGGACCCAGGTAAGGGTGGTAGGAGAGGTTTCCAACAGGGAGACAAACTTGTCTGTTGGTTTGTCCTACCATGGTGACATGTTGATGTGAGTTTTGAGGCTGAGCCACTGGTGTTTCAAACCCAGTGGGATGCACATGGAGAACAATCACGGGAGAAAGAAGGGCTGCTTATGCACAGCGAGATAGCTCAGGGGGCAGGAGTGCATGGAGGGATGGACACAGGGAAGAGGTAACTATTGGGAAGAAGTGGGAGGGGAGTTGTTGCATTGGGGTAAATTGTAGTCAATGTCATGAGATAAAATGTATGTGAACTGCTGTATGGAAAGTGAATTTGCTCTGTAAATTTTCACTCAAATCACACACAAACACACAAGAATAATGTAGAATCTGCAAAACACCACATAGCATGGATGAACTTGGAGTACATAATTCTGAGTTAAGTAAGTCAATCACAGAAGGACAAATATTGTTCAGTATTGTCAAAAGTCAAGGCAAGGTTATATATGGAAGGAAACTTTCTTTGTTGATTAGCAGGGATAGGAGGGAAAACTGCTAGATAGTATTTAAATACTCTCTATTAGTTAATATTTAAAGAATATTTAAAGATAAATATTGATTTGGGTGAAGGGAAAGGCAATATACCAAAAGCCAGTGACCAACACAGTAACAGTAAGAAAAGAAAGACACTGAGAGTTGTTCAAACCTTTTGCACATACAGTAGTACGTGGTCAGTGAAGGCAAACATGGGTATATGAGTGGATACTTGGGTGGACAGATGGGTGGATGGGCTGAACTAGTAGGTATGTCTATGAAGCGGGGAGTGTACCCAAGGACATGTATAGGGTTGGCATACAATGGTCCTATAATTTACGTGTATGATCTGAATTCCCAGGTGTAAAGTAGAGCTTACAAGAGGCAAGGTGGTAGTCACAGCTTGGTCACAGCCAGCTACCCAGAGGGACTGAGTAGCTGAATCTGTGGGCTTGAACCATAGTCACAGGGGACATCAAGCTCAATTGGCATAACATACTACACAAAACATTGTTCCACCTCCTACTTTGGCGAGTAGTGAATAGGATATTAAAAGCTTGCAAGCTGCCATCTAAATGCAACAATGGGTCTCTCCTTGTCCAGAGCAAAGAAGAATAAAGAAAACCAAAAACTCATGGATATAATCAGTCCTAGTGACTGGTACACCATCCAATCTGCAGCCTATACGACTATGAGACTAGAAGAACTAGATGGTGCCCGGCTATCAATGTCAACCACTTGGAAGGGGATCTATGTAGGAGATCCTGGATAGAGAGGGAGAATAATGTGGGCAAAACTCAAAATCATTTGGTGAAAAAAAATAAAGGGGGGGGGGACCAGGTTTGCTGGTTTGGAACCACTGAGACTATGGCCCCTAGCTGCTCATCAGGTCTGGAATTGAACCCACACATGTGGCTTCCAGCCAAGCAAAACACAGGCATATGAGGTGCACATTTACCTGAGGTAGATACACTCCTTGGAGAGAACAATCATGGGAGAAAGAAAGGCTGCTTATACACCGGGAGCCAGCTCAGGGGGCATGAGTACATGGAGGGATGGACACAGGGAAGAGGTGACTGTCGGGAGGAAGTGGGAGGGGGATGTTGCATTGTGGTAAATTGTGGTCAATGTCACGAGACAAAGTGTATGTGAACTGCTGTATGGAAAGTGAATTTGCTCTGTAAACCTTTACCAAAATCACACACACACAAAAAGAGTTGTTCAAGAGTTATGGACAACAAAGAGAAGCATTTTACTTATACAATACTGCATTATCAGTAATAACAAACATTAATCTATCGGTAGATAAATAGGTAGACAGGCTAAATGATCAGGTATGTTTAGGCAAAAGGGAATATACCCATGACCACATGTAAGGTTGGCATATGATATTTCTGCATATGAATCTGTATGTGCTGTAAGACTATCCATATAAATAGCACTAACAGAGGACAAAGTTATAATAACTTCTTAGGTACAGCCAACTACCCTGATGGAGTGAGTTGTTGGAGGGAAGATAAAGACACAAGGAAACAATTAATCCATTAAGACTAAAGGACCATAAGAACCACAGCCTCTCCTATCTTGAAACCATGTGAACTAGATGGTGCCTGGTAACAACTAATGGCTGCTCTGATCAGGATCACAATAAATCTTGGACAGAAAGGCAGAAAAAAATTATAGAGCACAATTCAAAATCATAAAAAGGATCAGTCTTACTGGTCTGACAAAGATTGGTAGAACCCATGAGACTGTGGCCCTTAAAGACACCACCCTTCAAGCCTAAAATTGATCACATCCCCAGGGATCAACTTTCATGCAAACAATAGACAGGCCTATAAAGTTAATGGTAAAACCAGGGAGGAACATACTACTCAGTACAATCAACAATAGGAGACAAAAAGGGTTGCCTCTGCCCCAAAACAAAGCAGAGAAAGGGAAGAAGCAGCAAGGGATAACAAACAAGGATGAATGGAAATGGGGAAAACAGAGAGGACTTGGGAAGAGTGTTGCTCCATTGAGGGTACTGCAATCACTGTAACAAAGTAAAATGTATATAACTTCTTGAATGCAAAGCTAATTTGTACTGTAAACTTTCAAACTATAATAAAATGTTAAAAAATAATCAAGGAAAGGTTTATGTATGGAAAGAAACTTTCTTTGTTGATTACTAAGGATAGGAGGAGAGGCGTGGGAAAATTGCTACCTAGTTAAGAGATAGGTACTACGTTGGCTGAAGGGAAAGGCAATATACCAAAAGCAGGTGATCAGCAAGCACAATATCACTACTGTAAAAGAAGACAATGGAATGGTGCACAAAAGGTAAAGAAAACAAAGGTATATAGAATTACATACAAAATAACTGCATTATCAGTAATAACAAACATGGGTGGATACATAGGTAGTCAGGGTAAATGATCAGGTATGGGTAGGCAAAAGGGAATATAACCATGAACATATATGACTTTGGCAGACATTATTCCTATATACTTAGCTGTGTGTGTTATAAAAGTGTCAATATATATATAATAGAGGTAACAGGTAACAGTAAATGATAACTTTTTAGCTACAGTCAAACACTTTGAGGGAGTGAGTGGCCCTGAGGGCTTAGGACCATGATCTCAGGGGTAACAAGCTCAATTGCCATAACACACGATATAGAAACGTTCTCTATCCTACTTTATTGAGTAGAGACTAGAATCTTAAAAGCTTCTGAGCAGCCAGGTAAGATGCAACAAATTGCCTCTCCAGAGCAAAGGATAATGAAGAAATGAAAGATGCATGGAAACAATTAGCCCAAAGGCCTAATGGACCATGACAATGTCAGCCTACATGACCCTGAAACCAGAACTAGATGGTGCCTTGGTACCACTGTCAACCAGTCCAAAAGGGATCAAAATAGGAGATCCTGGATAGAGTGGGAGAAAAATGTGGAACAAAACTAAAAATCATAAAAAAAGGCCAGGTTTACTAGTCTGATAAAGACTGGTAAAACCCCTGAGACTATGGCCCCTAGTCAGCCTTTAGGCCTGGATCTAAACTTACTCCCATGGCTTAATCTTTAGCCAAATAATAGACCTGTGAGGTGAACAATTACATCAGAGAGGTGCACTCCTTAGAACAATGAACCATAGGAGATCTGAAGATTTGCACAGGAAGAAAAGCTCAGAAGAAAGGCATAGGCAAAAAAAAAAAAAAAAAAGCAGGGAAAAGGTAGCCACAAGGAAAAAGTGGGAAGAGACTTGTTATAGTCTGGGGATAATAATCAATGTCATGATGAAAACTGTATATGAAGTTAATGGTTATAATAAATCTTGTCTATACTTCTATAGCCCATTTATATGTAAATCCATACATTAGCATACATCATGTAATTATAAAAATTATAGCTTCTAAAAATGAAAGAAAATTTTAGAGAAATTAAAATATTCTTAGTAGATAAAGTTTAATCTTTTTTGGGGATATACTAAAGATAAATATAAAGCAGATAATATAGAGATAAAACCTTGTAACTCAGGATACAAAACACAAACATTGGTTAATGTCAATATGACCATCAACTCTAAAGGGATAAGCCTTCACGTGAAATAAAAAGCTTGACTTTTCAGAGTCTTCTTATTAAATACAGATTTAAAAGTACTCACCAAATTTGCCAGAGCATTATGAACCAATTTTTTTTGTTTTTCTTTTGCTTTCTGCCTTGCATCTAAGGCTGCTAAACGCTTCTGATTATCTTGAGCATGTTTATACTTAGGAACATTTGATAAATTACTAACAGTCAGTTGAAAACCACTTCTGCTTTCCCGAGTCTTTCTACTGAATGCCAAGCTGGGAATGTCTTTGCTGGAAGAGAACTTCGGTGATTTCTCAGGCAATGTACGGCTGTGTGAATTAGTCTTTTCCTCTGAACTATCTTCTGTCTTTGGGGTACTACGGTGACCATCTTTATCAAAGTCCATCTTGTAAATCTTTGCGTCAAGGCTTAAGGAGTTCTTACCTTTTAATAGCAACAGAGTAGAAGCAGTACTTCTGCTTCCCTTTTCTGAATTGCTTAGGGACATTACCTTGAGACCCTGGCTCTCAAAAGATGCCTGTCTGTTTTGAGGCTCAGTATGATTTGAGCTATATGCCTTCTTTGTGTGTTGACATGGAATTAATTCTCTTGATGAGCCATCAGCATACGAAAATCCCTTTTCCATGGAAATGCTACTGGGATTTTCAAGATTCAAGGAACTCTGATCTTTATTAATACCATTAGAGGACACACCTTCTTTTAATGAATTTTTCCAGGATTCCTTTCCATAGAGAGAACCTATTCCCTTGAAAGCCTGGAATTTGTTTTCCTTTAGTTTTTCTTTACAAAGAATATTCTTTTTTCCTTCTAAAAGAGAAGTCACAATATCCTCAGGGTGAATGCACTGTTTCCCTCTATGGGGATTGCCAGGAATCTTGAGGTTTTTGGAGGCCCTGATAAACTGGCAACAGGTGGTGGTTTCCTGGCTATCACTCTCAGTGTTTTCTTTTGCAGCCTCTGCATCACCATAACTCAATTGTTCCAAATCAGCTAACGTGAGTTTTACATGGACACAGTTTTTCATCATGGCATCATACTCCTTGCCTCCTTCAGACTCAGCTGAATCAGCATCTTCACCACTGCTGGAATCAGATGGAGATTTACAGTTAAGCTTAATCCCATTACTAACTGCTTTCTTTTTTTCTTTCTTTTGTATTTCAACAGAATCATCAGAAGACTCACAGCTTTTTCTGCCTTTCAAAGAAATTTTCTTGCATATAGATTTTTCCATGTTTAAAAATTCTGTGTTTTTTACCTTACCAATGTTTTTTTTCATTGCAATGATTTCATCTGTATCTCCTGAATCATAGCCACAATAATTTCCTGTAACATTATCATTACTAAGGTGGCAAGGGATACTATTTTTGACACCTAAACTTGTTGAAAAATAAAGTTTGTGAACATCTGATTTTAAGTCATCCCTTACAACTACAAAGGGATCATTTTTAAGTTCTTTTATTGAAGACCACATAGTTTTCTCTAAGTTTTCCTCTCCTGAAATCACCGCTCTTAATTCATCTTTAAAATCAGAATCATCATCAGACATGCTATTTTTGTTTCCGTCAGTTTTTAAGCCATAAGTCTGAAAAGGTACAGTTTTAGGTTTCTGATGATCAGAATTAGGTACACAGGGTGATTCAGAAAGACTGAGGAAATCATGAGGTGTGTTTTGTGCAGCCTGCTGCTGCATCAAGTGCAGACCATCCATTACTGAACTGTATACTGGGCAAATAGCCAAAGGCCTGGTGGCACTCCCACCACAGTGCTCTTTTTTTATCTTCTTGGGAGGCCTATGAAAGTTAGAGAACTCTCCTCTTCGTTTCTTAGTCATAGGATCATTCCCTCCTTCCAATTTCCAAGTGAGGTTGGTTATAGGGATGGTATTTGTAGAATTCTCCCCTATCTTCTTCAGGTTGTGGCAGTATTTTGAGGGATCATATTTTATGTGCCAAAAGTGAAGGAACAAAAGTATTAGGTTGTAGGAAAATCTATCAATCTGTAGAGATAAAAGAAATACTTTCTAATTTTGAGCAAGGCATTTACCTCATCTTTCCCTTAGGTTCTAAACAAACAAAACGATGATTATATAAGATGATTTTTCAGGGTCTAAGGAATTGGGCTTTCCAGCTCAATTTCCACATGTACAGAGTTAAAACCAAGCATTACCATTATTAGCTGGCAGAAATCACTTGAGACATGTACATGTTAAAGTGAGCCAATAGCTTATATTCTAAATTCACAGGCTTCAAGACTATGTTTGCAAAATGAGAAAAATTCTTCCAGTGAGCTGATATTGTGAAGCAGATTATAGAAGGAAACTCATGATAGGAAACCTATATAACGATTGTCCTTTCTTGTCAAATGGCAGTGGCCTTTCCTGTACTCTCAACATTGACTCATCTTAGTTCTCCTGATTTTTTGAGCTCAATGAAGTCCATTTCACATTCTACTCAATCACTGCAATGTATTTTGTGGGTCTTCATTAGAAAGTTAATAAATTTTTATTAGGACTGTTAAGTTAATGTCAATGTGTAGTGATGACAGCTGGTACTTGCTGATTACTAAGACACATAAACGGGAAAATATAAGCTGCTTTAAGCTATTACTGTTGAAAAGCCCTGTTGTTCATTTAGTAATTATTTGTTCTTGGTAGTCTTGAGTAGATTTCCACTAACAGTGATCCCATATGATAGAGCAGAACTGCCCCATAGGTGATTTCTAGGCTGTAATCTTCACAGTAGAAGATAGTTAGGTCTTTCTCCCATAGAGCCTCTAGATGGGTTTAAACTGTCAATCTTTTGGGTTAGTAGCTGAGCACTTAATCGTTGTACCTCTAGAGCTCCTCAGTACCAGGGCTTCGAACCAGTTCAGTGATGGCCAACGAGGCAATACCAGAAGAAACCCAAATTAATAAAAACTGGGTGAACAGTAAACTGGAATAGAAAAAATTATGAGTCGAAGCCCTGGAATGGGAGACTCATAAAAGGCATGGTGAGCCCTTTCAGGAGTCTGATGCAGGAGACTGGATTACGGGCAAAATTTAAGACAGTATCACACATTCAGAGTAGAGCAGTCAACCACATTTGAGCCAGGTGCCGATAATTCCTATTCAATAGGCAAAAGATTTGGATGCTCTGCAACATGTATACTGCCCTAAGAGAGAAAATTAAGTTTTTAGCAGGACTATGACCTGTAATTTTTACCATTCTGATTATTATTCTAGTTCACTCAAATTTAAAAAATTCAGGTCTGTTTCAGTATTGCTCCACTGGCTGTGATTGAACCAGGCTGAAATGGTTTGAAGCCCTGCTTGTTGCTGTTGTTGTTATGTGCCGTTGAGTTGGACCCAACTCATAGCAACCCCTCCTTGGGTTTCCGAGGCACTATCACTACGGAAGTAGACTGCCCCATCTTCCTTCTGAGCAGTGGCTGGTGGGTTTGAACCGCCAGCCTTCTGGTTAGCAGTTAAGTGCCTTAGGCACTACGCTACCTTAGCTCCCGAAGCCCTGCTTAGTGTGAGGTGTGCCAGACAGTGAATATTGACTCTCAACTCCACATTGTTGTTTATTACCTTCCTCCTTGCTATTAGCAGCTGACACTGGTGGGAAGAAAAAAGTCAGTATTTCCCTGATTATAGTGCCACTGGCAGTTAAGAGCAAAAGGAGTAGCCCCAGCCAGTGCTGCTGAGGCCTCGATTTGAGTAGCAGCCTCAGTGGCACTACAATGGTGGGCTTTGTATTTCTTTAACTTCAGAAGCTATAGTAGTTTTCTGCAGTTACTAATCTTTGGGCAGCCTGGGCATCAGGTTTTTGCTTCTCTGGTATCTTTTTAACCAATTGTGTGTATTATATTCCATCTGTTTGAAATACATTGAGTGGTTTCTGCTTCCCTGTTTGACTGATAAACAGGATGGAAAAACAAAGGATACACACAGATGTGCCCTCTGCTCAGAAGTACATGATACAGATCTGTCCTTATTTGCTCAAGGTATCAGTCCCTTTGGTCATCCTGTGTCCATACTATTTTCCTACCCATGATTCACTTGTCTGCCTACATATTTTTATCTACTTTTCCTCTCTCCCGGACTTTTCCTATCCTTTTTCTATTAATTTGGAATGTACTCATATTCTTCAAGCTCCAACTCAAGTCCTAAGGCTTTCATGGAGCTTTCCTTAACATGACAGCTCTGATGCTCCTCTCCCTGCACTTACCTTTAGCTCATTTATCAATGGCTTTGAATTTATGGGAAGAAGGGAAATCACGTACAGATTAATAAATGAAATTCCTTCTTTGGCACTTTTTGTAGGAAACCTCACAACTCCCTCTCATTATTCTCTGATGTTTCATACATGTAGGTAGGTAGGTCTTATCTAGAAATTGGAAACAAAGAAACTACTACATAAAGATTTGCTGATACAAGCAGTGAAATTTTAATGGTATGATATAAAATTCTGAACATATCCCTAGCTATGGTCAACAATAATTAACTCTGAAAAGTCAATCAAAAAGGATATTTTATGTTTAAGTTGATTCTTAAGATGAAGGACAGGTAAGACTCTTCCAAATTTACTCACAACCCAATTCTAAAAGAAAAAAAGAATACATTTATTATATACACCACAAATTAAAAAAGATTATTAAAACCATACTATATAAATACAATTGTTTGCAAACATCCTGAACCAGGAGCAGGCCATGATTATAGTTGGGTTTAGTTTTCTGATAAAATGAGTTCTCAAAGAGAAAAAATATGAGAGAAAAAGAAAATTGGGGCAGCTATCAAATTCCAGGGAAGCCACGTAGGATGCTACACAAAATCATAGCCATTAAAGTCAAAATTGAGACCTAACTGCTCCTTACTACCTATGTTACCTTGGAAAACCCACCTCTGCTAGAGTTTCAATTTCTCTATCTATAAAAAAGTAAAGAACTTTACTTACCTAAGAGTTGTAAATGCAAGCTGAAAATCATTAAGTACTATCCATTGTTTCAAAAACAATGGGAAATAAGTAACTGGCTTATGCCAGGACCTTTGTGGCTCTGTGGTCTCAGGTGTAGCATCCTGGGCTACCTAGGGCTACCAGAGGGAGACTCACTTTATGTCCTGGCACTTCTGTTCCTGGCACAGCTTTCATATGCAAATCAACTACTCCCATCTTTTTTAGCAAATCAGTGTTTCCTGTTCTTGAATTGTCTTTTTTTGCTTTTGCGTCTTCTCTCTCTTGGGCTAACCTGAATGAAAGAAAAAAATGTAAATAAAAGAACTAAAATAACCCATCAACCAAAATGATTATTTCCCTTCAGATGATCCTAAATGATCACTATAAAGTACAGCTTTACAGTATTAAGCACCAAAATAAAATAAATTCACTTTGTTAATAGTGTAATAGCTTGCATTTCTTTTTTGAACACACAAGTACTAAATTTTCATTGTTGAGTAATTGGAAAAATATGTAGAAAAGAAAACTCATTCCTTATTCCACAAATCATTGTTTAACATTTTGTCTATTTCTTTCAACTTTATTTAATATGGAAATATACACATTTAAAAATAAAGCTGATAATACTAGATGAACTGTTAGGTACCTTTTGTTTATTCAACCTATCATTACAAATTCTTTGAAAAAATCACTTTAATGGCTGTTGTTGTTGTTAGGTGCCAACAAATAATAGTGCCAAGTCATAAATAGTGATCCCATGTATAACAGAACTAAACGTTTCTTGGTCTTGTGCTAACTTCACAACAGTAGGTATCAATCTATCTCTTTTTCACTGATCCTCTACTTTACCAAGGGAGCTCTGGTAGCATAGTGGCTAAGGCACTTGACTGCTAACCAGAAGGCTGGCGGTTCAAACCCACCAGCCACTCCACTCCTCGGAAGGAAGATGGGGCAATCTACTTCCGTAGTGATACTGCCTCGGAAACCCAAGGAGGGGTCACTATGAGTCAGGTGTGACTCGACGGTACATTACAACAACAACAACTACTTTACCAAAAAGAATGTCCTTCTACAGAGACTAGATCCCTCCTGATAAAATGTCCAAAGTACATGAAATGAAGTCTCAACATCATCACCTCTTAGGAGCATTCTGGCTGTATTTCTTCCAAGAAAGATTAGTTCATTCTTCTGGCATATTCAATATACAATACCACAAAAACACACCTGTTGCCATCCAGTTGATTCAGACTCTTAGTGACCGTGTGGGACAGAATTGTCCATAGGGTTTCCAGGGTTGTAATCTTTATGGAAGCAGACTGCCACATCTTTCTTGAGTAGAGTGCTGGTAGGTTTGAACTGCTGACTTTTTGGTTAGCAGCTGAGCACTTAACCACTGGCCTACCCAAGCTCCTTTTTAATATTTAGTACTTCATAGTATATTCAATATTCCTAGCCAATGTCATAATTCAAATGTATCAACTTTTTGGTCTTTGTTTTGGTCATCTACAGCTGCTATAACAGAAAATACCACAAGCTGGTGTTTTTTTTTAACAAACCAGAGTTTATCCTCTCACAGTTTAGGAGGCTCAAAGTCCAAGTGCAAAGTGCCAATTAAGGGGTGGGTGACTTGTACTAAAGTGCAATGCTGTCAGTGATAAGATAATATTCAAAGGCCTATAAGGAAGACCAGTTAATACTACATTTATTCAAATTTAGGCACCAACCACCAAAGTGAAAGATTAAGAAACTGAAGACTTTCACCAATTTTTCCAGTTTTAAATTGACCAAACATGCAATCAAAATGTACTGATAATTATTGATGATTGGAATGTGAAAGTTGGAAACAAAGAAGAAGGATCAGCAGTTGGAAAATATGACCTGGTGATTGTAATGATGCTGGAGATGTCATGATAGAATTTTGCAAAACCAATGACTTGTTCATTGCAAATACCCTCTGTCAACAACCTAAATGGTGACTGTACACACGAACCTTACCAGACAGAATACACAGGAATCAGATCAACTACATCTGTGGAAAGAGGTGATGGAGATGCTCAATATCTTCAGCCAAAACAAGGCCAGAATTTGACAGTAGAATAGACCCCAACTGTTCATGTGCAAGTTCAAGTTGAGGCTGAAGACAACACAAGTCCATGAGAGCCAAAATATGACATTGATTATATGATTATATAATTATATATCACCTGAATTTAGAGACCATCTAAACAACAGATTGGATCCACTGAACACTAATGACTGAAAAGCAGACAAATTGTGGGATGACATCAAGAATATCATCCATGAAGAAAGCAAAAGGTTATTTAAAAGACAGGAAAAGAGGCCAAGATTAAAATGGCTGTCAGAAGAGTGTCTGAAACTTGCTCTTGAATACAGACTAGCTAAAGCAAGCCAAAGGATAAAATGCTGAGGTAGAAGAACTGAGCAAAAGATTTTAGAGAGTGGCTCAAGAAGACAAAGTAAAGTTTTATTATGAAATGTGCAAAGGCCTTAAGTCAGAGAACCAAAAGGAAAGAACGCACTCTGTATTTCTCAATCTGAAAGAACTGAAATAAAAATATAAGCCTCAACTTGCAATAATGAAGCATATTCAATGACACAGGAAGCTTCTAAAGAAGAAGGAAAGCGTACAGGTAGACCTTGTATTTGAATTATGATCAACCACACTTACTTTTTTCTCGTATCTCTCATCGTTAGTACTGGTATTATTGTAGTACATAATTTTTTTTCAAAGCTAGTGTAGCAACTTATTCATTAAACTTGATTACTAGATACAATAATATCCTACTAACATTAGATGAATTCTCCAGTACAAGTGTAAAAGAAGCAATTTTAAAGCTATGAGGAATAGCATAACATTTCTTTTTTTTTTTTAAATTTTTATTGTGATTTGGGTGAAAGTTTACAAAGCAAATTCACTTTCCATACAGCAGCTCACATACTTTGTCTCATGACATTGACTACAGTTTACCACAATGCAATAGCGCCCCTCCCGCTTCTTCCCCATAGTTACCTCTTCCCTGTGTCCTTCCCTCCCATGCACTCCTGCCCCCCATGCAAACTCCCCGTGCATACACAGCTGTTCTATTCTCCCATGACTGATCTCTCCAAGGGGTGTATCGACCCAATGTAAATGTTCAGCTCATATGCCAGTCTTTTGTTTGGCTAGAAGTCACCGGACTGGGTTCAGTTCCAGACCTAAAGGGCAGCCAGGGGCCATAGTCTCAGTGGTTCCACCAGGCTCTATCAGACCAGCAAACCTGGTCTCCCTTTTTTTTCCTGAAAATGATTGAGTTTTGTCCCACATTGTTCTCCCTCTCTATCCAGGATCTCCTATATAGATCCCTCTTCAGGTGGTTGACAGTGGAAGCCGGGTACCATCTAGTTCTTCTGGTCTCATAGTCGTATAGGCTGAGGATTGCACAATATATATCAGTCACTAAGACTCATTGTTTCTATGAATCTTTGGTTTTCTTCATTCTTCTTTGCTCTGGA